TGTTGCTATTTCTGCTGTTGCTGTTGCTCTTATTGCTGCTCTTGCTGCTGCTGCTGCTGCTGCTGCTGCTGCTGCTGCTGCTGCTGCAGCACGACATTTTTGCTTCGTTTCAAGAGGCGGCCCTCGCAGCGCTGGATTTCGCCGAAGACAGCCGAGACAAACACACCAACTGGAGGTAAGCAGCAGCAGCAGCAGCAGCAGCAGCAGCAGAAGCAGCAGCAGCAGCAGCAATTGCGGCTGGTTCTGCTGCTGCTGCTGCTGCTGCTGCTGCTGCTGCTCGTGTTGCTTTTATGCGACTTGGTGTTTGTTCCTACTATTCGNTGCTGCTGCTGCTGCTGCTGCTCGTGTTGCTTTTATGCGACTTGGTGTTTGTTCCTACTATTCGAGTTAGGGTTGCGGCTAACTGTTTAGGGTTTAGGGTTTAGGGTTTAGGGTTTAGGGTTTAGGGTTTTCTCAGGGCCCCAGAGGTGTTGGAGGGTTTGGCTGCTGCGGCGAGGCTTTTGGGGGTTTGGATGTCCGTGGAGCCGTCAGAGCACGGCACGAAGGTAAACCCTAAACCCTAAACCCTAAACCCTAAACCCTAAACCCTAGTCCATAGACACCTCTAAACCCTAAACCCTAAACCCTAGGTGTTTGCTGCAGATGCTTCGACTGCTGCCAGCCCTCATATTGCCTCAAACCCCCGAAGATGCGGCGCCGCTGCTGCCTGCTCTGCTCGCCTTCTCCCCGTAACCCTAAACCCTAAACCCTAAACCCTAAACCCTAGCACACCCAAAACCCTAAACCCTACTCCATACTAGACCTTGACGCCCAAGAGGACCATTCTAAGGATTCCTCAGACCCTCAGCAGCTGGCGCCTATACCCACAAACCCTAAACCCTAAACCCTAAACCCTCATAATTCTGCTAAACCCGAAACCCTCAGCGGTGTTTGTGGCTGCACAGCGACGACTGGTTCGACCGGCAGGGGACCCTCGATTTGCTTCTTTCTCTTCTCCTGGAAACCCCGAAGGCTCTTGAATGCTGTAGGGTTTAGGGTTTAGGGTTTAGGGTTTGGCGAGGGTTTAGGGTTTGGCGAGGGTTTAGGGTTTAGGGATTAGTGAGGGTTTAGGGTTTAGGGTTTATTGTTTGGTGAGGGTTTAGGGTTTAGGGTTTGGGGTTTGGCGGGACAATGCCCAGGAGGGTTTAGGGTTTAGGATTTGGTGGTGCAATCCCCACGAGGGTTTAGGGTTTAGGGTTTAGGGTTTGGTGGTGGTTTGTATGCAGCATCAGCTGGCGATTTGGGGTGTCTATGCACCTCTCTGCTGGCTGCTGCTTTTCTCTCTCCCCTCGTCGAGGATCCTTATAAATATATTCAGCAGCAAGACAAGCACAAGCAGAAGTTGCTGCTGCTGCAGCAGCAGCTCGATGCTGCTGCTGCTGCTGCTGCTGTAAGCAATCTCAATACCACTCTTCTGCTGCTGCTGCTGCTGCTCTTGTTACTGCTGCTGCAGAAACACCTGCTGCTGCTGCTGCTGTTGCTGCTCATCCTGCTGCTGTTGCTGCTGCTGCGTGTGTTTGGTGCAGTATCCTGCAGCAGCAGCAGCACGCAGCAGCAGCAGCAGCAGCAGCAGCATGATAGGCCCCCGGCTGCCTCCGTGCCCGTTCCTTCTGCCTGCTGATGTGGGGCCGCTAGCAGCAACTCCAGCAGCAGAATTATGCGTTAGAATTGGGGTGTATGTACACCAGGCGTTGCTGCTGCTGCTGAGCAGCAGCAGCAGCAGCAGCAGCAAAGCAGCAGCAGCAGCAGCAACAGCTGTTGCAGGTGCACGAGGGTTTACACCGCAGACACTGTCACAGGTTGCAGCGCTGCAGCAGCAGCTGCTGCAGGAGCCCAAGCCTTTCCTCTCCGTCTTCAGCAGCAGCAGCAGCAGCAGCACAAGCAGCAGCAGCAGCAGCAGCAGCAGCAAGGCTGAGGTAAAGAAATGTTTTCTATGGGCTGCTGACGTCATCAGCTGCTGCGCTGCTCTCGTGGGCCTTCGCTGCAACGCAGCAGAACTGCAGCAGATTGTGCCGCTGCAGCAGCAAGAGCTGCTCTGGGTACGCTGCTGCTGCTGCTGCTGCTGCTGCTGCTGCCAATGTTGCTGCTGTTGCTGCTGCTTTTTATTTTGCTTTGTTTTGGTGTTGGTGTTGTTGTGATGATGCTGCTGCTGCTGCTGCTGCTGTTGCTGTTTCTGCTGGTGCTGCTGCTGCTGCTGTCTCCTTTTTGCTGCTGCTGCTGCTATTCTTGCTGCTGCTGCAGCATCTGCTGCTGCTTCTCATACTACACAGGATATATTCCCTTTTTATTTCTCTGTATCTAAAATTAAGGGTTTAGGGTTTAGGGTTTAGGGTTTAGGGTTTATTTTCTCTGCTGCAGCACTCGCTAGCATGCCAGTTGGTGCTGCTGCGGCCTGACGACCCCACAGACTTCATCGGGGGCCCCCGGGGGGCCCCCCCCTCGCGGGGGGCCCCCCCCTGCTGGGGGGCCCCCCCAGCCCCGGGGGCCCCCGAGGAGAGCGTGGGCCTCTGGCTGCGGGTTGTGAGGGTTTTGCTGCTGCTGAGCCAGAGACACCCGGGTGTATGTACAGCTGTAGGAAAAGCTGTAGCTCTGTGGAGAAGTGTAAGTTTATTATTTTTTTATTTTATTTTATTTTTTTTTGTTTTATTTATTTTATTTTATTTTATTTTTTGTTTTGTTTTATTTTATTTTATTTTTTTTTGTTTTGTTATATTTTATTTCGTTTTGTTTTGTTTTGTTTTGTTGTTGTTTTTATTATTTTATTTTGCTTTGTTTTGGTGTTGCTGTTTTTGTGCTGCTGCTGCTGCTTCTGCTGCTGTTGCTGTTGCTGTTGCTGTTTCTTACTGGTTGCTACTGCTAAACCTTCTGCTGCTGCTGCTGCTGCTGCTGCTGGTGCTGCTGCTGCTGCTGCAGAGAAGCAAGCGTTCTGCGTTTCTATGCGGGTCCCCCGGTGTCTCTCTGGATGGTATTTGGGGGGACGAGGATGACCTCCTCCTCAGCGCCTTCGCCCTGTTCTTGCGCACAGTTGCCCCCGAGGGTTTAGGGTCTAGGGTTTAGGGTTTAGGGTTTGGGGTTTACCGTCTCCTGTGAGCGCCCGAGGGTCACCTTCTAGGGGCCCCCAACTGCTCTCGCAAGGGCCCTTCTGGGGGGCCCGTTAGTACCCTTCTGGGGGCACCTTAGTACCCTTCTGGGGGCCCCGGGGGGCCCCTGGGGGCCCCTAAAGGGACCTTTCAGTGCACTGTGAGGGCCCTCTCATTGCGCTTAGAGGGGGCCCTTAGGGGGCCCCCTAAGCCCCCTTTTGGGGGCCCCCAAGTACCCTTTTGGGGGCCCATCAGGGGCCCCCTAAGCCCCCTTTTGGGGGCCCCCTAGTGCCCTTTTGGAGGCCCTTCGGGGGCCCCCTCCTACCCTTTTAGGGGCCCCTTAGTGCCCTGTTGGTAGGGGCCCCCCAGGGGGCCCCCCAGTGCCCTTTAAGGGCCCCCTTAGAACCCTTTTGGGGGCCTTTTGTTGGGACGATGGGGGCCCCCCGATGGCTTTCTAGAGCCCCTCTGTTGTCTTCAAGGGGCCCCCAGGTCCCCCCGGGGCCCCCACGGGCCCTTCAGGGGCCCCCGGGGCCC